GCATCGATAAAGGCATTGGTATGGGCAACAAAACCTCCAAGAGCCTCACTGGACATAATTGATTGAAATCTGATCAGTCATAGAAGTGAGAAATAGTAATCAAATGAATCGGGGGAAAAGGGTTTATCCCATTACCTGGCTTATAGTGTCATAAGGAAGAAGAACCAGTCTGAGGACATAGGTAGAAGGATAAAGTGTCCTGTGCATAATCGGTGAAAATCACTCCAACCGGCAATGTCTGTAGGTCAGCAGCAACAAAAGTAAACTTTCAGGGAAAGGTGATACATGACACATGAAGCTAAGGTCTCAAATGGGTGTTGAGAAAGGGCATGTAATGACACTTTAGTATACCAGTTATATAACTGTGATGATTGTTTGGGACAAAGGACCCAAAACAGTTTGAGGAAGCTGGAGAGTACTGGGGACTCAAAGAATTTTTGTCTCTAGTATCAAATTGTAGTCAATAAGGCTGCCTTATGTAGGGTGATTGTGGAAGATGCAAAAACCTTGGAAAAGTGTCAGGTCAAAAAATGAGTTATAGTTGATACTTCTGATCGAAGTGGGATCCTCCATCTCTCAATACACCATTGCCAATAGATGTGTGCAATTTCCATTACTAAATGTCCATTGTAGGACTAAGGAAGGACTGAGACAGATGCGTGTAAAACTTAGAAATAACCTCCATGCCTGAAGCATGAGCTTCTAGATAGCCGAGTGTACCACATTAGATTATGGCTGCCTCCACAGCAAAGGCCAAAGAGGAAGTGGAAGAGGTGGGCACCTCTTAAGGTACTGCAGAAGTAGAAACCAAAATGTAGCTACCAATCTGGTGCTAAGAACAGGACCCAACCATGGATTTGAAGAAATCATATTTACTGTTACAACAGCGGAAGTCACCCGACGCTGGAGCATGCATGCTGGAGTGTCCAGAAGGATCGTGACTTATTGGGCAACCTCACGAATGTCCCAGCGTTTACTAGATGCCCTCTTTTTTAGTATATAAGCCGGAGGTAGATTGAAGAGAAATAATTGGGTCAAGCGAACAGCAGGCACCATAAGTAAAGTGTGTGAATCACTGTGAATTATACCGTGTGTTTTTAAAAGTAGTTAAGTTAAAGTGACTGTGGAAATTCTGTGTATTGCAAAGTTGTATTGAGAAAGAATAAACTAGTTTTAATTAAGAAAAGACTTGTATTTTCGAAGTTTTTTGGAAAGAATTTCTATGGGAAATTAACAAACAAGCAGATATGTAACATTACTATGTGTGCAAATTGTGGAGTCTGGTAGATTTTATAGTTTTTACCAATTCTGCTTGATACTCCTATATGTTTGTGGGCTCAGCTCATAGGTGTAACTGACGTATAGTTTTGCCAATGTAACTGCATTACAGCCACCATATGTGTTTTTATTTACAATCCTGGAATGTATAGGGGTAGATAATAGGTCATTTGTAGTTGAACTTGTGGATAAAATGTCTTAATTATTCTTAAAATTTTTGAGTTGACTATGAAACTGTGCATGCCTAAAAAGGAACGATCAATCTTAATGGTTATTTATCAGAAATGTATGGTTTCTTTGGGGGTTCAAATTTGTGAGAATGGAACTTGCATGTTAGGGCTTGAATAAAATGCAAAGGATAGCCATTGTTTATTAAAATGTTCTGTAAGGTGGTGATTTTAATATGAAGAGAGAGGTATTTAGAACAAATGTTATATGCTGTATTGAGAAGACTGAGTATAAGGTTATATTTAAAGGAATTTGGAATAAAACTGTCGATTTGAGTATATATGACTGTATATGTTCTTTTACGATAAACAGATGTTGTGAAATGGTTATCTAATCTGCTGATTTGGATATCAAGAAAAGTCAATTTACTGTGTTTTTCAGTTTTGGTGTTTCAAATTTAAATAATCCAAAAATTGTTTGATGTGAGTAGAGCTTCAGAAGAGTAAAAACATATCATCAACATGCCTTCTATATAAAGCTGGTTTGTGTTCTGCAGGACAAGTATCTAGACAAGAACTCTCATAGTGACAAAAGAATATGTTAGTGAGAGTCGGTCATAAAGATGACCCCATTACTTCGCCATCTATTTGCTTATTCAGCTGACTGTTGAAGAAAAAGTGTCAGTTTGCATATTTTTTCATCACATATCTGAATCTGGCTTAGCCAACTGTCACTTGGCTCCACACTGTAGAACAGGAATCCTGACTGTTACCTCTCTTTCTCCAATTGCACTGATAGCTCTCTCTCTCTCTTGTGAATGTGGATATCACTTAAATCCCTCATGGCTTTGGGATGAGTGTGCACAAGAGATCCTTTCAGTGGTTTTTATGCGACCAAGGGACCATACACATAGATTCCCTGGATTTCTCAGTTTCCTTATTTAGGATCATTCTTTGATATCAAGGGGTTGTTAAATCAGGACAATACTAAGATATGGGTTCCTCTGCAGCCACCTCATCCAGAGATCCATCTCTTCGCGAATGCCTTACTTCAGGAATGGGGTGCATATCTCATCAATTAGGAATTCCAAGGTCTACGCACAGATGACGAGGCTTCCCTACACAATGTTTAAGACCTTCTTGCTCTTCAAAATGCGATGCCTCGTGGTTTGAGCTTATTAAGGGGGAAATTGTTAGGCTTCACTCTGATAATTCCATGGTGGTGTCTTGCATTTCCCATTAAGGGGGCACTTTATCCAGGGTTCCTTGTTTTCGACCTTGGATCTCCTTTCTCAGGACCACTCCTGTCATGTCACTTTACTAGCTTGCCTTGTTCCACAGGTGATGACAACAGTAGCAGATCAATTGTCTAGACCCAAACAGATTCTCCCAACAGAATAGATGTTGCCTCACGAGGTTTTCTGTTGGATTGGCTCTCGTTTTGGAACAATGATGATTGGCAGATTGGTCACTCTTTGGAACACCCAACTACTGGCAATTTGGTCTCCAGTATCTCATCCTTGGGCTTTGGCAATGAATGCATTCCATCAGGATGAGACAAGATTATAACTCTAGATCTTCCTTCCAATTTGTACTAAATATGATTTTTTCCAACCCATGGTCGGGTACATCTCCGTGGAGGCAACCATAATCTGACATGGTATACCCAGCTATCCAGAAGCTAAAGCTTCAAGTATGGAGGTTATGCTCTCCTTCACATGGTGGCAGGGTTTAATTTCTAAGGTTCCCATGTATCTGTTTCAGTCTTTGCTTAGTTTTGTGATGGACATTTAGCAACATAAGTGGCATACATATCGGTAATGGTGTATTGTTTTTTGACTAGGCCCTTTCACAAGGGTTTTGCATCCTCAACAATCGCCCTGTATAAGGCAGCTTTATCGACTATATTTCGATACTCAAGATAAAAATGCTTTGATCCATAAATATGAATGATCAGCACTTGTGTATGGTCTCAAATTTATTAAATAATTAAAACCAATATTCCATATTTACTCAGTTTTTAAAACTCAATTAAAGCTGTCAACAGCTTCCACTTCAAAAATACACTACTTGTACAATGTTTGATGTCTTCTACAGAGCTTTAAAAATATGTTCAAGACAGGAAGATTAAGTAATGAATTCTTATTAATTAAATATGTAGCTTTCGAAAGAGGATTTGACCCGAATATAGTAGATAGAGCATTTAAGAAATTTAACAAAGGTTTATTGTTAGTAAAAAATACTACATTAAGATCTATCTATGAAAAAAACAAGAAGCTTTAAATTTACCTTATATTCCAGGATTAATAGGTCAATTATTAATGATGAAAGCATTTGAAACATTACAAAATTTTAATTATTGGTGAATATATAAAATCAGTTTGTGAGTAGGGCTTATTGTCATATATCTTCTCATAATTTTGCCTATAATTAAAAGTATATACAGTAGAAGTTTTATTATCAGGTGTATTTGTATCTGGAAAACTCTTGTAACCAAACATTTCATAATTTTCAAATACAAATTTCTATTGAAGCATAGTGGCAATCCTTTATGTTCTTTCCTGTCTGCAAGCTTGTTAGCTGCTTGTACTATGATTCACATTTAAAATATTGTACCTATAAATGTTTTTATACAGCCTAAGGATTTTAAAATATTTATTTTTGTTTAAAACTGTTAATGTTATAGATAATATGGGAATATAGTACTTTAGAACATTAACAAGGTGTCAAAATTTTGTAAGGGAAATGTTTTCATAACCAGAATTTTCAGCTATCCAGCACTCTCCAGGTCTGGCAGTGCTGGCTAATAAAGCTTTTACTGTAAATACATGTCAGTTATAGGATTCAGTGTTTATTAAAATATTGAGCAAATCTTTCTCTGCTACTTATTATGTATTTATTTTCATAAAATCTTTCATTCTAAGAATATTGAGCTGATCTTGTACTCTCACTTATGTGCTTATTTTAATAAAATCTTTTCTTTCTAAGATTTAAGTGGTTAAGAAAGGGTATCAAGTGTTTCCCCTGTTAATATTCCTTTTCTCTCGGTTAAATTTTAGTCATTTAAACTTAGATAGAAATTTGTTTTGTACATGCACTTTGATGCTTTTAGTTGTAGTGGCCATTAAAACTTGTATTATTCATGTGACTTTTCTTGGCTAGTTTTGTGGTCAGATTTAAAGACTGCTAATTAACTGCTGATTTGCAGTATAGGGTACTGTCTGACACTGGCAATTGAAATGCAAGTGTGCCTTATACAGTATATGGCTGGCAAAAATTCTGTGCACGTTTAGAGCAGTCACAGTCAGTGGTTTAATAAAATGAAAAAGCAAATTAAAACCAAAATTATTTTCATACTCAAATACTTATTAGAGTAGTATATGAGGAATGTAGTGTTAAATGTACAGTAGCATAAGTATATATATTACCTTTACGGTGATAGTCAGTGAATAAATGGTAAAGAAGTTTGTTTCAAGTAGATGGTCTTATTGAAGATAATTTTAATTACACAATGTATATTTAATTTTTATTGACACTTTGACTCTCATTCCTTAGGTACTGAAATAGTTTATGCTACCGAAGAATGGAATTGTCTCTCTTGCTCATCTGATAGTAGCCAGAATGAGCTAATCATAGATCAGTTTGAATCTCAGTGTATTTCCTCATTAGGCAAAAAGGAAGGCAATGAATTAAAGGACAGTCCAAATGTTCACAGTTTTGATTCTCAGGAAGAGGTTGGTCTATCTTTTTAATCAATATTAATTCTAAAAAGGCTAAATAATTTCATTAGCTTTAATGTAACTGATGTTTTTAAGGCAAAACTAGCTGGTGCAGTATTTGTATTAGGATAAGGCTATTGTTAAGAAGTATAAATATATTTTTCTGTAAAACATATTCAGACTTTTACTTCTAAGGTTTAACATTAAGAAAGATTTGAGGAAACAACAAAGTTATAATAACATAAAATGTGTCTTAAGTCGCAGTGTAGAGTTTTATACAGTAATACATTTTAATGCATTTGAAATGTAGAACCCACTTGTTCCAACTCTTTGTTTTTTTATTTACAAAAAAAAGTATTACCTGAAGCATTTTATGTTTCAAAATTATACTGTAGTAATTAAGCTTTTTAAACATTATTAAATGTGTTAATCAGTACCATATGAAAAGCTGAGAACAGCAATAAAATACATGCTTATCATCTTTTTGGAGCAAACAGCAATTGAACAAACAAAAGGAAATAGCTTAATCTGTGGGAAATCTTACTTTTCAGATGTTAAAAGTTTGGTAATATTTAATACTAAATGGCACCTGTTCTGGGACATGTCATTTTAGGGCACATTGACTTCAAGTTGCTTTTAAGAACAACATCTTTCTGGTGTCTACGTTATCATAACAACTACTATTATGTAAAAACACGTTAAAAAACTCATGAACAACAATTTTACTCTGATCAACTTTGATTATTTCATACTAGCAGAAATGCTACCCTACAGGCAGCTATTTGTGCTAGTAATTTCTAATTGTATTATTCATACCTCATTGAAAAAAATATAAAAAGTGAACATTTTTGAAAAAAGGATTTTCCTAGGAAGTACTGCACAGGAAAAGTGTTCAGATTGTGCTGATATGAACTGTAATATTTTTATATATAGTACTATATTTACAAATTATGTCAATAAAGATATAATCACACTCTCACATACAGTCTTAGTGAAAGTCGTGTTCTTGTTCTGAGGAGAGTACTTTTATTTAAAATCGTGTTTCTGTGATAAAGAAATGGTTGTTGCATATATTATACTTATTTTTCTAAGTGTCTGAATCTTGAATACCCAAAGTGTGAAATTTTTGTATTGATTTTTGTTTGTGATTCCATTCAATAGATGGCACCACATTGTATTTATTATTTTGCACATACATAGATGGATACATATATATACATGCTACATCCATTGTAGTAAGGTATACTCTGAATGTACATCTGTTAAAGTGTGTGCATTATATAAACATTTGTATGTGTAATGTACATGTTGCTTCAACAGTCTCTAGGTATCGTGATCTCTGTGAATGTGTTTTTAAAATATGTCTTAACTAAGAGTAGAATGAAATTATGTCTTAGCTAATTTGATGCAAAATGAGAACTTTGTACTAATGATATTTTTTCAGAATTAATGCTTGCTGCTAAAGCCATTTATATTATTTGCTTTATAAGTAATTATTTTCATATTAACACTTTGCGATAATGTCTCTTAATATGGAATTTTATAATGCAACTTTTAAAAACATATCAAAAGTACTAGTGCAGTCTTAATACAGTTTAGTTTATAGTGTGTTAAAGATGTTATTAAATCATTGTTTGGCTACTTATTATTAAAATTATTTGGAATATGCAAATGAACAAGTCATATGACAACCAAATTACAGTGGAACAGCAGGTATCAAATTCCTTTTTAACATTGTTTAGTGTTTCGTAACTGTAGTGATGCACCAAAAATTAATCACCCTTAGAATGGGTATATGACTGTTCTTTCCAACATAAAATATTCATACAATCAGTTCATAATTTCCAAGATGAGAATATCCCTTGAATTGAATAGCATTGGAAAATAAAGAACGTAGATCAACTTGGGGAACCAGTACCATTCAGAAAGAAATCTGAAACAAGTCATATCTCAGCTATGGTAAGCAAGTTGAAGTATCTTGTAACAGATGGGAATCCATAACACAAAGGCCAGTGGAAAAAGCTGTCCACTTGCCTCAGGCAAAAGTACAAAACATAACCAAGAATGATTTCCATGTGGAAAAGTGACACAAGTCATGCATACACAAGCTGCTTCTACATATATGTTCAACCATTGGATACCTCAAGCAGCTGGAGAATGAAATGGGTATTCATGTTATTCTGTATGAGGACATACTGATGAAGTCATCAAATGCAGTGCCAGTGGATTTCTCTGTGATCCTACTGTTGAAACTGGCACTGCCAAACTTTTGTCCTCACACACTAATTACATTATGGAAAGCACACAAGGAAGGGTCTAGTACTTTGGATATGACAGTCTTATGTCTGAGCCTTTAGCAATGGAAACTATACTGCAGGGCTGTTGTCAGGATTTTCCCCTGTCAGGTAGAGCATGATGGGACTTAGTGACATGGACTGTAGTGATGTGAAAAGACTTCAGAATTGTTTTAATATAACTGACTCAACTTCTGTATTTATTTTGAATAAAATATTAAAATGAGTACTCACGTTTTTTAGATGATGAAACTTGGATTTTTTAAGATTCTTATATTAAGAAAAAATGCTATATATTACAGTTATATGATTGTTTCTAAATAAATATTTAATATCATTCTCAAATGACTGTTTGACTGTTATACTATGAAAACAATGTTAATAATTATGAAATAGTAATTGATTTACCATTATATGGTCACTGTGATAACATAAATCAAAATTCTTTAAAAGCAAATTTGAGACTATTATTGAACTATAAAATTGTTTTCTTTATTTTCATCAATGAATATATCTTAATATTATTTTATTATGAACTGTTTTTATACAGCTTGTTGATTTGTTTGAATACAGAATGCCATTGTTGCTTATGTTTCATATAGCTCACATTTTCCCATTACACCAAACTGTTGAGCTATGAATACTCAAACCTACAGGATGTCTGAAGATTTTTAGACATAATTTGTTATGTTAACATGAAAAAATGAATCAGTGTTCAGTGACTTATATATGTGAATGATTAAAATGTATCAGTGGATGTATATGGACTTGTGAATCACTTGATTGACAAACTTTCTAATCAGCTTGTACTTCATTTGGCTCCATTATTTTATACACCATGAGCATCATTTTCATTGAGTAATTCTCTGTCAGGTACACTAGCAACCATTTTTGTTTTCTACATCATTTTGAACAACATGCCATAAACACATCCTTCATTTTGCTTTCAACATGTGGATGATGTTTACAAATAAAAATGAATGAATACTATTCTTTCAGAACAAGAACAACATACAGTTCACTGTTGAAAGTGAAAATAACTTCATAGTGCATTTTCAAAATATAAACATCACCCCCCCCCCCCCCATAGGTTGTTCACATAAAAATCATGTATAATGTAAACTACGATGAACTTTTTTTAATCTTATAATTCAACAAAAACTAGGCACACTGAAAGACCTTCTAAATGAAATAATTCCATATGCACCAACAACAACACTGATGAAGAGATTCAACACTTAATTCAATGTTTCAATAACACTATCCAATTTTTATTCAAAATAGTTATATAAACTCTAAATGAATTCAACAAATGCAAACAAGACAATAATAACTGACAGACAAATGAAAAAATTACACATCTAAACCCTCTGCAAACCTCAAAAATTCAACTCATCTACTTGTATGTACAAATGATGAATGAATATGGGCAAGTTGGCTTTTTCTATGCACTCACCCAATGTTATTTCAGCTTTTTAAAATTGACTGCTTGTAGAATAATTACAGTTCTAAAAATAAATGTACTTCTGAAAATACCTTCTCTTTTGTTATTTAGCATTAAACTGTCACTTTAAACTGTTACAGTAATGTTTCAAATTGCTTTAGTAACAGATGTACAATTGAACACAATGCCTTAATTAATTTTCATTATTGTTATTAGCAAAACACTAATTCAGTTGTCAAGGCGATCTACAGTGTAGTACTAATTCCACATGTAAAGGTGAGAACAATTACAAGATTAGAGGTATTAGGTATTGATTAACCAATCTGTTAATCTTCCAGGAGAGCACTAGAGGGAAAGTATACTTGTAGCATTTATTGCAGTAAAAGATGTACATTGAGAGAGATTTTTTTTCGTTGTCTTTCAAAAGATGTGTATATATATACATTGGTTTGTGAAGAGCTAGAGTACTTTAGTCTTATTAATGGGAGAATCAAAAATAAAGTTTGGTTAGAAACCTGTTTTTCCTATGCCATAGACTTATGTGGGAAATATGTCTAAAATAAGCTTCCTTTTCAATTACCTTAGAATTCAATTGCCAAGACAAATTATTTTCCTCTACTGTGCTTCTTGCTACACAATCTGTGATAAATTCCTTTAAGTTTCCCTGTGGGTTACCATAGTTGCATCAAGAACTTCAAGTAATTATCAAAGTCCACACATATGGGTTCAATTACTTTAGAACACCCACTGACAAGACAAATTATTCTCCTTATCTCTGTTAAACTGTGAAATGTACTTTAAAATATTGCTTGTTATGGCTAAACTAACATTTACACAGTCTAACTTCACTTAACTTGCTGGATGCCACAGTTGTATCCAAAACTTCAAATAATTGTCTTTTTTTTTGTCAAAAGTCCATACAGACTGATTCAGTTACTGCAGAACACTATTGATTAGACAAATTATTTTTCCTCTCTCTCTGTTGTTATAGTACAGCTGTAAAACACAGTATAGAAATCACCTGTTAAGGCTAATCACTCACACACTGGCTAACTTCACGTTTTCTTTCACTAACTAACTTTTATCTATCTTTATCTTGCTGTATCTGCACATATTTATAACTATTTAGCCCTCTATTAGCAACAATATTACACATAACTTGACAATCTTGGAAGCTTTGAGTAAGATGATGTAATATTACAAAAGCCTAGTACAACAATCAAACTGCATACACAACATATGACTCTTACAGAGTTAAATAACAAATTTATCATAACTGTTACTTTTAAAATAATTAATTTTTAATGCACTTGTTATGAAACTTAAATAATCATTAAATATCTAGAGGTTATGGCCCCACCTATGTTGAACAAACTAATGAACTCTTTAACTGATTTTGAGGAATATTTAACTTTGATAAAAATAGTTTTTAAACTTTAAGAAATGTAGTAATTTAATTTTAGAATTAATTTGGAAATATTGCATTACCGGGACAGAGAACCCTTTAAATAGAAGAAGTAATTCTGTTGAATTTCAGAAGTAAAAAGGTGAATGACTTTTGAACATTCAGCACTTGAACTGTTAAGATTATTCTTAGCATGCATTGTTTATTTGGATCAAATTCTAATAAAGATTTTGGATAAGGGTATTTTTAAGGGGTGTTAACTTTACTTGCCAAATCAAAGTCATCTACCAGAAAGTTGTGTGAATATTATGTTTACTTTTTAAGATGGCAACAATTATATGTTGTTAAAAATTTCATAGTTATGGTAAAAAACTTTAATTATTAGATTTATCTTCTTTATTTCAGCTTATTTCTTCTCCTCTTAGTCAGCATATCACTTCTTCTCTCTCACAAACTCCACCTGGTGTCACTTCATTTCCACGAGGAAGTGACTGGCTTCAAAAAGTATCATGGCAACAGAAAACTCCAGAGAAAAACAATGACCAAACAATTCTTTGCACACATGAGTCAGAGAAGAAAAAGAAAAAGAATTTAAGGTTGATTTCAGTAGTTTTATTATACATAATATAACACTTAAAGTAGTTGAGGTATTAATGAAATTAAGCAAGTTTTGGTAAACATTAGAAGTCATTTGTAAACAAAAACTCAAAATTTTTAGTTAAATATTTTTGCTAAAACTTTGTTGATTGCTCCAAGTGCAAAGTGACTTTCATGTTAAGGTTAAAAATACTTTTTTTTCATCTGAAAATGTATACATTTCATTTGCATAAACCATAAAACCTCCTAAATAGATATCAAACGTTTTTTGTTTGTTTTTTCTGAAAAACTTTACATTTTATGTGTTATTATTTATACTGTAACTCTATATGGGGTCAGTCAATTTGACCAACCTTGTAACCACCATAAAAAATTAGGAAATAAATCTAAATTATCCTTTTGTTCTTTGTAATGACTGCAAAGTGTAACAGGAAATCATAATTGCTTATCCTAAATAGGTTAAAGCCTTTAATAGTATACATGTATTTATACTTAATTTTATTGCACTTTGAACCATGTCTAACTAAGAATCCCACCACATAAGTTGTAAATCATGTGGTGAACATGCAGCTTATGTTACTGTATCAAATTATGTAAAGCACAAGCTTCTCGCAAACATACCCCATGAGGAATTTTTATTATTATTATTTTACCTAATCTAACCTTATCTAACCTAAAAATTCCAATACAGTATCTTATCTCCTCTCACATTCAGTGTTGCCCTATGTGCACAATTTTTTTTGTTTGCTACTAGTCTTGAAACTCCCTTCTACCCCACATGGTTTTACTGCAACTTCTCATGCAAATAAGCATGCGGCAACCCTCCAACAATAGGAATGAGACACACTTTTCTCTATATTATTCGACCTAACCTTCACTTCTTGTTTAGCCACTGTTGAATTATGCTAATTTTTTCTCCACATTTGCACTCAATTTCTTTTTGCATGGTTTCTCCAAGTAATAATTTGAAATAGTTCATGATCTTAATTACAACTTGAGTTGGAGTAAACTTAAGTGTATTTTTTTCTTCACTATATATCTTGGTGAATTGATCTCAGTTGAACCATGAACTTGGAATTTCGTGTCATAACTACTACTAGTGTGACTACTTCTACTTTAAACGATATTTCTTAGGCTTCAGGTTTTACACTTTTGGTGGAGGAATACTTGGCCTTAGTTCTATGGGAACTTAAACACTGCATAAGACAATTGGCTTTTCGCAAATCTGGACTAGAACTTCCCTGTCAGGAAAATGTTTAGACAATGAGGGTTTGGAGAGCCTTTTTTCGTCCTTCCCCATGCAATCCCGTATATTACCTGTGGAAGCAGCCAGGTCTCCCTCAGCCTTTTTGTACATTATTTCACAGATATACTACCTTTTGTCTGTGTCCTCTGTCTCATATGACCCTACACCTTCCCTTATACACACCACTCCCATGATGGAATACCTTGTTTTTTCCCTCTCCGAATATCAGGGTCCATACTGATCAGTTCTAGGTTCAATTAAGTGCTGGATCTAGCATGCATCATCCCCCTCAAGCTTTGGATCCTTTTGCTTTTGGCTTATCTCAAAGCAGATTTACCTTTCCTAGACTCCCTACACCTGGTGTCTTTAAGGCAAGTGTGTGGGGCCAACCCTGAGTCCCTGGTTAGGTTTTCCCAGATCCAATTTTCCAGCCTCTATTTACTCTAACCTCTCTCCTTTTCTCCTTTGGTACCTTTCTGTCATCCACCTCCTCACAGAGGCTCTCCACTGATCTCCTGAGGGGTTTTTCACTGGAAACCTGTACTCTCATACTTTCCACATTAGTGTGTTTATTCTCCTTGGCCCTCTTTCTCCAAACATGGTTTCTCTGCTGCTGAGATCTTCTGGATAGGGATGCACTTTTGTCTGACGTATGCCTACCCCAAATTTATGTGCATGATCATCGGGTAGTACTATTTTTATGCAGATCTGTTTTTGTGGACATCACTGAGTCTCTGGAGTCATGGGTTGAATCTGCTAGACAGCATTCTTCCATTTCTTCCTTGGTTTCCAGGTTGTTTCAGACTTTACCTGCCCCTTCTCCCATTACTGTTTCTTGACCCACACCTTCCCAGCCTTTACCTGTTCCTCTCTACAGGGTTTCCACAGTGAGCCATTGTATTTCTCACCATAGAAACATACACCACCTATGGTACTGGTGACTATCTGGTGGGTTCTGGCAAGGTAGGTGCACACCTGTCAAGATTTATTCACCTATGGTGGGAGTTTACTTCTGATCCTTGGGTTTTTCAGGTGTTGTCTGAAGGACTCTTCATCCACTTTCTTCTCACTCCCCTGTGTATTCTCCTCTTCCTCAGGAACCCACAACTTGCTAGTGTCTCTCTGAAGTGGTTTGGACTCTTCTACTCAAGGATGCTATTAAACCAGTCGGTCCAACCTCTGCAGGTTTTTACAACAGGTTGTTTGTTGTAGTTGTTTGGTGGCTACATGGGGACAACACCACAGCGGGTGTTCCTCTTCTGCCTCCTCATCCTGAGTTTCACATTTTCACAGAGGCTTCATTTGGGGGTTGAAGATTGAGCTTGGAGCATCAGGAATGTTTAGGGTGTTGGTCTCAGGTCGAGTCGACCAGAGCAGGTGTTCCTTTTCTGCCTCCTCATCCTGAGTTGCACCTGTTCACAGAGGCTTCATTTGGGGGTTGAAGAGTGAGCTTGGAGCATCAGGAAATTTCAGGTTGTTGGTCTCTGGTCTAGTTGACTTTACATATCAACATCTTGGAACTACTGGCCGTTTTCAAGCTTTGGATCATTTCCGTCCTTCAGTTCAAGACAAAGTGGTCATAATCCATTCCAACAATTTGACAGTTGTCTCGTACATCAATTACCAGGGTGGCACCTGTTCCTGTTTGCTATGCTTCTGAACATTGGAACTACTTTTTTGGGCCCATGCCTTTCACACATGCCTCATTGCGTGTCATGTTCTGGGTCTGTTTGTAGATTTTCTTTCTTGTCCAGACCAGATCTTCCCCATGCAGTAGTTCCTCAACTCTCTGGTTTTCCAGTGACTGAGCACACAATGGGGTACTCCTCATTTAGATGTATTTGCCACACATCATAATTCCAAAATGCCCTTGTTCTGGTCACTGGTACCACATCCCTAGGCCTTGTTTTTGGATGCTCTCTGTCAGGATTGAACCAACTTGTACCTATATGCTGTCCTCCGATTCAAATCCTACCCCATTACCTCTCTTTCACCATCTCTCCTCTGTCAACTTCAGTTGCTCTGTTTTCAAGTGTGTTTTTTTTTTACCAGTCCCTTTTGAGGAGATCCGGATTGTCTACATGTGTGCCATCTATGTTATTCCATTTTATTCACTTTTCCTCACTCATGGTTTATCAGAGAAAGTGGTGGACATTATACCGATGGTTTCTGTGCCAACTGTACTTCACCTTACAGAATTCCTTACCTGGCTGTTTGGTCATAACTCATCACTATCTCCTATTGCAGGGTATCAAAAAGCCTTATCTAACACCTGTTTTACCAGGTACTGAAAAGTGTTTCCTCTCCCTCCTTTTCCATTTTTTGTGTTTGTTCCAGATTTATCTTCTTCCTTGACCTACTGTATTGCTGGGTTAGGAAATTAATGTTGTTTTCTACACCATTACCCTTCCTCCCTTTGAACCCTTGGCTGCCTGTTCCATCTGCCATCTCTCCTGTAAAACCTACTTCCTAGTCCTTTTGGCCTGTTTACACTTTACCACCACACCTGTATTCTCCTTTCGGATTGTAATTTCCTTCCCAAAACATTGGTGGATTGTGAGAGCAACTTTTTCTTTACACTAATTTTCCTCCCCTCCATTTCACATTTATATTCCCATTCAGATCCAAGTAGACTTTTATATCCAGTTTGTGTTCTTTGTTGTTATATTATCGACACGGCTTCCTTCCATGGGTTTTGCTCCCTGTTATACATTCCTTGGACCCCATCCTAACTCCAAGATGTTTCCCCTTCTAATTTCACAAATTGGATTTTTCAACTTATCAAGTTGGCGTATTCATCCCCATCTTCAAATTCCGAACATGTTTTCCAGGTGTCATCTCACCAGAATTGATACCTTACCTTTTCCGTCGTATCTCATCTTCATTGTTGTGTAGAAGAGATCATCCAATTGGGCACAGGACTACACTGAATATGTTCATCTCCCATTACTTACATCATGTAACTGTTTCTTCCCCATCCAGATATCACATTCAACCTGTTGCCATTCTGTGCATGATGTTCCAACTTTTGAATCAATAAGTTTACTTTTCTCTCTCTCTCTCCCTTATTCCCTAAAGGATCATTTCCCTTATAGGTAGTGGATCCCACTCAGTGATGAGTGGTGCCTGTGCAGGTATACGTACTAGGCTGTCAGTTGAAAAATCTGCACTGTACAGTCTATAATTAGCAGGTTATGTATATACTGTCTAGGATACCCCTGGTGCACAACCTCTGATGAGTCAAGACCTGGAGGCTGGTGAAACAAGGAGTTGGACCAGGTGAGCAGTTGACTGGGATGCTCCACCAGAGAAAACTACAGGCTGGACCCACCAATTTATATATATATATACCTCTCTCTCCAGGTGTATAATACACAATATTGAAATGGGTTCTCTTCATGGTATATTGCTTCATAATTATGAACGTACCAGATTGTACTGACTAATGGACTATCATGAGTAAAGCAGAAGGAGATAGCTGCCCATCCTTGTCATTTTTTGTCTACTTTCTCAAACAAGGTTACTGTGGTCATCCATTGCACAGTCTCCAGTGTCAATATTCCTCCGGACTCCCAAATGCATCACCCCCCTTCTTTAAATGGAATACAAGAGTCCTTATCACTTACCAGTTCCTGACCACTGGAGTGGTGGAGGCTTTCTCCTGAATGTGTTCAATCAAGAGATTAGAGCAGTGGTGTTCTGCTGGTGTAGATCCCTCCACAGACACGGAAAGTGGAGTACATCCACTTTAATGCAGTTCACCCCTCCAGTTGGGACCCCTCTTCCTACTAGGATACGATATACTAGTTGATCGGGGTAACCCCAGCATACCTTCTCCATCAAACTGAAGATTGGGTGTTTGGTATTGCAAGGAATTGGACTGACTGACAGGTACTCTGTTTGGCTGGGGTACCCCCACCATACCAATTAGTATAGCATACAATTTTAGCTAATAATCCATATTTTAATAGTATATAAGTTTTAAGTTCTTAATTTTATAAGGCAATATTTAAAAAAATCCTGAATTTGTGCTAGTGTGACCCATGTGACACATTTTCTCTTAGCATGTTATCTTCATTTTATCCACCACACCTCTAATAAGTATGAAATTCAACATAAATTCACTAAAATTCGTCATTGCTCAGACAAACCATAATTTTTATAGCCTTCAATTTTGTTTGTTTACAGAGCCATCAAATAGAAAATCAGCCCCCCTCTTGCCACACCCACCTGTCACACCCTCTCTTTCAGAATTTGTTAATAATTCTCTCATACGTTTAATTCTATATTATTTATAACTGATAAAAAGCCGATGTTTTAAGTGATTTTGAGAGAAGTAAACAAGGAATAGGATGGAAAATTTAAAAAAAAAATATTATGGGCGAGAGAAAAATAAGAGTAACAATTTAAAAAGGAATTTGGAAAGTTTAATGCCTATAAATAGCTCAAGTGAAATGAGGCCTTTTTATGTAAAAGTATTTGAAAATATTATACCAGAATATATTGATGTATCTAACTTTAAAGCATGTTGTGGAGTTCAGCACAATAAATAGTCTTTATTTTCTTTTCAGTCTACATTCATATGTTGAACAAATATATATGAATTTTATAAAATTTCAGTGGAATTCAATTGATTTTGATGTAGATTTCAGTTTCCAAAAAGTGCTTGAAATTGACCTGAGCAATTCAGTATGACCCATGTGAGATAAATAATGATTAAGAACTTTATACTCATTTTAGTTTCTTCTCTAGAGAAGAAAATTTGATTGAAAGGCTCTTGAGGTATTGGGTTTCCTATTTGTTATGCATGTAATTTTTGATCTTGCATTATTTCTTAATATCATGTTAGATAATTTCTTTGCTACGTTTCATCCTTGAAAATATTTATAGCTTATACCATGTTTCTCTGTTTAAGACTTTCTTTGAGCTTTGTTTTAATTTTTGTTAAGGAAATAAAAATGTAGTGTATTCTAACTTTGTATTGTATTCTTAGTGGTGGATTTGCAAACAAGTTGAATAAGCTGGAAGCAAGAGAAAAATCATATGAAGCCATCTGGTGGTATCAAAAGTTACACTCATCAGCAAGTGTTGAAAGTAAAGAGAAAGAGAAACTGATGTTAAGGCAAACTGATATAACAGGTAGGATTTCACACAACCACTTTTTTCTGCATTCACCTCTTTAAGAGCCATAGAATGTATCGTAAAATTTTTTATGTTAAACCTTGTGTAAATAGTTTTCTAACTCTTTAGTTCAGTTAACTCATTTGTACTGTTTATTGAGTAAAAATAAGATTGCAAGAATCTTCTTAAAACATTTTACTTCTGCTAGTAAATGGCATTCACGATACCACATTCACATACAACATTAAAAGTATTAAATCATATATTTGTGAATTATTATGAAAACTTTGTCTGTTTCTAGAATAAAACCTGTCTAAACAAACTACACTGTTATACCTTTCTGAAAATACACTTCTGTTGTCATTAATAAGAAGTATCTCAAAACGTAAAATAAAAAAGTAATTTTGGAGAGATTTTTATTCAACATTAGTGAAACCATCTAGATTAACTTCTCTTTATAAAAGTTTTTTAGAAATCAGGTTGTATTAGGCTGTATGATTAAAACCATCCAGACAGAACCATATGAAAGTATTTTTGTTTCTGGATTAACACTTTCATTACGGGCATCTTTTTTTCTGCATGTGTCACAAACGTTTAGTGAGTTACCTTCAAAATTTAAACTACTTTCTTATCACAGTATAAACTTGGCATAAAACATAGTTAATAATTAAAATGTTAATATTCTAGATGTTTTAAGTTCTTGGTTTTATAGGCAATATTAAAAAACCCGAATTTCCCTTAGTATGAGAATTTTGACATTTGCTCTCTATGTATCTCCTCTCCTCTTAACTTATTTACTACCCGTCCGAGAAGTTTACAGCAAAAAGACCCAGTTAAACATTTTATTCCTGGTTTTTCATGTTTATTCTTTATTCCTTATTTTAAAAGTAACTAAAATGTTAAAAGTAGAAACTTTTTAGGTTAGTTAAAGTGAGATTAAGTAAATTATAGAATAATAACAATAAAAAATTTTCATGAGGCATGTTCCCGAGCAACTCGAGAGTAGCTCGTTGTTATGTAATTCAATAGAGTAACATTAGTTACATGTTCCAGGTGATTTACAACTTGCATAGCAAGAATATTAGTTAGATACAGTTCAAAGGGCAATAAATTACAGTTAACTGTAAACGTAAACAGATGTATACTGGTTTGAGTTTAAAGCTGTTTAGGGTAAACAAATGTAGTTTCATGTTACAATTTGAAGTCATTCTAGAAAGAAAAAAGTATAATTTAAATTTAATTGTAAATTTTTTATGGTTATGAGGTCAGTCAAATTGACCAACCTCGTATAGAGTTAGGGTAGAGAAAATAACAAATCAAATATAATGTTTTACTGAAAAAAGCATTTGAAATTTATTTAGGAGGTTTAACCCAATGACTACAGGCTACTAACTTTCTTAGTAGGCAATGCAAATCTTGCTATATTTCATTCCAACAATAAAACTGGTGGACGAATATTTTCGAAAATTCATAAATACTTTGACAAATGTAGGTAGTTTAAGAAACATAAAGCCTGTTACTTTTATTAAATTTAGTTTTTTTGCATTATGATCTTTAATATCTTGGAAAATTACATTAGGAAATCGTATTTATAAGAAATGATTGCAATATTTATATTTGCTACAGATTTGAACTTATTACTTTTAATGTTTTAGTACATTATTTTGAAATCCCCAAAAAATTGTATCCTCCATAAAATGCAAATTTTATCTATTTTTAATTTTTTTAATAATCACATACTTCTTATGATTTCAAGTAATATACAGACCCATAAATAATATTTGTACTACTCTCTATATGTGCAAATGTTCACTTGCCATGAGCCTTGAAGCTCTTACATACCCTTACATGTTTCCATGTGAAGCAGCTTTGTGATAGCATCTAAAAACCCTCCACCAATAAGAATGCAACACAACTCCTAGCACAGCTGACTCTCTCTGTGCAGCTTAACTCAACTTCACTTCTCAGTTGGCACTCTTGGTGTTTACACATTTGTTTCACTCAAGTGTTACTCACAAAATTTTGATCAGTTGTTTGTTTTTGGAGATCTTAGTCTTGTTTGTTACACTTCAGTTTCCTAATTTTAGTCTGTACACATTAATATTATGTGTTTTTAATTATTTTTTATTTTTGAGCTCCCTGTATGGATTTTTTTTCCTAAACCAAAACTCATAGTTATCATGAATTCAGAGTTTAATGTTTCTACTACTATTACTGCTGGATCTACAGCTTCAGGTTCACCAGGAGTTGGCTATTTTTACACAGACTTCAGATTCATTTAAAGATTATTTTGTCATGATACAGGGATACTTGAAAAAGAAGATGATTTTAACAACCTGTTTTCTACCCCATCCTATACCACACAGTCACGTGTAGCTCCAGTGGATGTGCCCAGTCCTCCTCCTCCTCTTTTCTTTGAATTGATCAACCAGCTTTGTTACATTTTGTCCTTTTCTCCTCTTTCCTTTGATTCCTCTCCTTCCCTTTTAAGTGAGACATCTTCAGCCCAATATCTTGTTCTCCTCCCTCACCAGATATTGGGGCCCACACCAATAGGTTTGCAGACCAATTATGTTTTGGGGTTAGTATGCTTCATCTCCCATGTAATATGGAAGCCCATGCTTTGGCTTACCATAGGTCTGAGTTTCCTTTTCTGTACTCACAGCAGTTGGGTCCTCTTCTGCCACTATGGGACTTGGATCACAATACTTCAGTTACATTTTCACAACCTCAGTTCTCCCGTATCTGCCTTACCTTATCTGTTCTCCTTTGTTCCCTTTCCTTTATTAGCCTTTTGTCTGAGGTCCTTCATTGTTCCTCAGATGGGTTTTGTGTGCAGACTTGTGCTTTGATGTTTTCCACTCTAGGACGATTGTCCTCTTCTGCCCTTTCCCTCCTAACATGGCTTCTCTGTTCTGGGGATCTTTTGGGTTGGGATGCCCTTTTGTTCCATGTCTGTTTGCCCTCAACCTCCTTATGGGACTTACATAGGGGTTCCCTTTTTTAACCCTTTGCCAATAGCATGCTAAGATTTGTAGCAACTAACATCATTATCATAATATTTCATTCCTAAAATAAAACTAGTGGATGAAATTGTGTGAAATTTAACAAGAACTTTCCTAAAAGCATGTATTTATTTGCACTTGGACTCTGAATAGTTCACCTGAAAGGTGATTTTTATATGAAGTATAAAAATACTATTATTTTTCTTCCAGTTTTCACGTTTCATTTGCATAATTTCTAGAACCTCATAAATGAATATAAAAAGTTTTTTAGGTTAATGCTTATATTTTATTTTCCATTTTATCTACTATATCACTAACTCTACCTATTACCATCAATGTACAGTGCAATGAAATGTTTAAAATTAAGAAATGGAAATATGCATATACCTTTTAGCTTTTTGTATAAGTCTTTGAAACATTTTTAATATGCATAATTTCACCTCTTTATCTTTTCACTTATAGTTTATTTTTAATTTTCGTTTCCAGTTCTCTGTCTTTTATTGTTTATGCCAATACGTCACTTGGGGCAGGCAGAGCTTTATTATTATTATACTGTGACCCTCATACAGACTTGTTTTGCTGAGGATTTGCACAGGCAGGTGACGCCATCTTGTTTATACACTTTCACAATCCAAGCAACAAGAAGTTAAACTTATAAAAGTCATTAAACTTTTCAAGTATGATTTTTAAAACAAATAATATGTAATTAACTAAAGTATAAAAGTAAGACTGAAACTATTTAGCTTTCTTTCTAACTATAGCATATTTAGGTAAGAAACCACCATAAGTGCTATAGTCAATCAAGCAGACAACAATACTAACAGCAGTTATATGTGCACTGTGAGGAAAACTGCATGCCAATTTCAAATTAACCATTGAAAAAGTATAGTGTAAACTGAGCTCTTTCTAATGACTGTATACACTTGTGTCAACTAACCACATGTATGTTGTTGATCTCAAGGCAATGTATAGAAAGTGAGTGTGGCGCACGTCAAGGGTTGTAAAATTTATGTCTGTTTACCAGTGAATATGTAATGTGTCAAAAGGGTAAATAGACCTACTTTGGTGGCTAGACATTCATTTACATCATAAATGGGTGTGTTTATACTCAGCTCCTGCTAAAATGGAGATTTTTCATAGCATTTGAATCATGACACAAAAACTGCAAAATAAGTATTTTCTAAATGTTTTCTTTGACAAATAGGAATTAAAACATAGATAAAATAACAGTTCAAATTATAACATACATTAAAATGTTAATTTCATTGACATATATTGATAGTAAAGTGGTTTAACTAAATATTGAATGTAACGTAATACCAAAGGAATTTAAAAATGGCACAGGGAGCTACTGGGTTAAGGCAAGATGTCTTTGAAGCCTTCCTAACTTCTTAGAATCCAGAGTGGAGTCTGCCCAGTTGCACACATCACTTTCCTCATTGGCTTATCATTTGTCTCAACCTTCTCTTCTTCCTCTCCTTTAGCAATTCCTGCTTCACAGGTCTCCGAGGTCAACTGTCTGTTTTTATCAATGACTTCAGTGCCCTGGCAGTTTTGGTGACTATGTGGAAGGTAAAGGTTCAGTGAGGGCCAGGCTTTTCCATTTTACCATTATATGGGAGTCTTTCATCACAGACCTTTGGGTTTTGTGGATTTTTTACGAAGGGCTCGTTCTTTGTTTTTCTTCCCCACATCTTGTTTCGTACCTATGTACATTTCCAGCCAGCGTCTGTCCGAGGTGGTTCTCAACCTTCTTCACCAGGGCGCTGTGGAACAAGTGTATCCTTCTTAGTCAGGTTTCTATTCTTGTTTGTTCATTGTCTACAAGAAAACTGGGGACTGTTATCTAATCACATATCGGTCTTCCTTCAAATGCTTCCTCAACATTCCTCGATTCACCATAGAGTAATACCTATCTCTCCATTGGGTTTTCACTCCAGATTTGTGGATTAGAAAGATAGATGTCTCGATTGCTTACCTCCTCATTACAATTTCCCAGCAGCCCAGCTTTTT